TTTTCTTATTTCTGTGTTTGTAAATTGTATCCTTTTTTTTAAGTTTATCTTCGCTTTTTTGTCCGTTGTTTAAAAAAAATTGGCAAAGTTTCTAGAGATCTTTAGAGGCATGTCTCATTTGTAAGATGGTCAGCTGATTACTATTCTGGAACGTTCTCAAAGTTCTTTTTCATCCTTTAATTTGACACTTGTTTTAGTGTAAATGATTTTAGATTGAAAGTTATTATGCTCAGTTGTTTTAGTTGACAAATTGTCTAAGTACATTAAAGGAAGCCTTCTTTTCAGAGGAATCCTTACTAGCCTTTTATTTATCTTGATATTGCTTTTGTAAGCTCACCAACTCTAGAGAAAGCTCATTTTCCTATTTAAACTTGGATGATAATGTTACTTCAACAGGTTTCTTTAGTCTCATTTGAAAGTTATACACCCTGTTTGTTTTTAAAATGTCAGTGGCAATTATGCTTGCAAACATAAATGCATGTTCTTTGTAGATTGTATGTTCAATTTCTTTGTGGTGTTATGTCTGAAATAGTTTGCTAAGCCAACCTAGAGTAGGGTGTCACTAAATTTGATCTATTTAGTTTTATAAATGTAGAAATTTATATATGTGTGCATAATGCATGATGCCATGTATAATTTCTTAATTTTAGACTTGTTAGATCTTGGAAAATTGTAAATGCTTTTTGCCCCTATTTAAATGTTAGTGTTAATGTTTTGTATTCAATATTCCTGACAGCCATAACATAGCCCATGACCATAGAAAGCTTAAGTTTAAGGTTTTGCACAGCCACCCACCTATGAACAGAAATTTTCTTGAGTTCTTGTGCATATTTGTGTTTTTGGAGTCTGTTCTACAAGATGATCAGTGGAAGTCCCAACCAGGGAATTCTCTTGATTTCAAATTCTGCTACAAAATAAGGCACACCTTAGCCCAAGGCTAGAAAAACAAAATTGAAAGTGAATGTTAAAATCCCATGGTAGCCAAGAAACAAGGGCAGGAAATGCTTATCTTCCTTTGACCATGATACATTGTGCTGTTCCAGAAAATATCCATACTCCCCCCACACAGCAAGGATTGGAATTTTCAGGGGATGGGGGATTCTGTAAAACGAGTAAAATTTAAAGAAATACTTCAAGCTTAATTGGAATTTCCAGAGGGGTGGGAGAGGTATGGATATTTTCTGGAACTACACATTTGTATATCTTTTGTAAATGTGGGCTTGGGAGCATGCTCAGGAGTTAAATTAATTTAAGCTAAAAGATCTCTATCCTTGCCTACAATGTCTGTAAATCAGCAATTAAATCAATTTGTACATTGACATCAATGCTGAATTGTTCTCGACTGGTAGGTTTCAATTGTGTTGTTTTTTCATGCTGTTTTCAGGTGTCGGCGATGAAATGTGGACTTCTACCAATATGTATTGAAGCACTTTCTGTAAGTCCTTGTCATTAGTTGTGCTGTTGACAGACAACATGCAAAGAAAGTGGTGTCCTGAAACTAGTGGATTTTGCAATTTAGTTAGTGGATTCTATCCTTCACTCGCTCCAAGAGCAAGTAAATTTTCTTGAGAGAATTTAATAAAATTCAATCACAGGAGTACAGTTAGCAAGAGAGTAATTTTGGGGGGTACATAAAAATGTTTCTCAGACTAGTAAGTTAGAGTTAGTTTGCCCAAAGGGCTAGCCTGAAAATCTTTGCACCCTGCACAGATGTGATCATTTGGTTTATATCCGATTGGTCAAAATAAGTGGTGAAAGTATAAAATAATAGAAAAAAAGAAATGAGAACTACATAAATGTAAAATTTACATTAATGTAAATGACTGCTCTAAAAACAAACTTTGTTCATGTTGCTGCAGATACTTGTATAAACGCTATTCATCTTGGTTTCTTGAGAGAGAGCAAACAATCTAAACATTGTCAATGTAAAGCGATAATTGCACTGTTGTGGTTGCTATGACATATTTGCTGTGTCATGACTGGTATCTTGTTGTTTTGTTTTCAGTTGGGTGAAATAGCCTACCATGATTTTAGAGGCATTTTCTCTAATGAAGAAGAAAAAGAATCAATAGTGAAAGACTTGGGTGAAGAAAGCAAGGTATTGTTATGTCAATGAGTAGAACTCTCTCTCCCCTCTCATGTCATGTGTAAATCAAGCATTGATTCCTTTAAATCTCCCTTCTGAAGTTACCTATACTCAAACTAGCACTAGTCTTATTAATTCTTTTTTGTATTTTATCAATTTTATTTTGCAAATTTGTTTCGGCAAATCATGTTACTTATTTTATAATATACACTTAGGTTTTTACTTTATAAATTTTAATGAAAGGTGAGTGGACCTTGAAATGGAATTTGTTCTCCCCTGCTATTATCCCTCCATCTTTTTGCTTTGCTTTTTTTTAACGTTTATGTAGGTAGCAAAGTATCATCAAACTTCAACTACTGACATTGTTAGTCAGTTATTCACCAGGGAGCCTGTTGTTGTTGTGTTGAAGTGATTCACCAAATTGCTTTAAAATAGCTTGTTTCATGCATGGTTGTGGGCACCCTTCATCAACAGCTCTGTTTTACCAATTGGGGCACTTTGTACATGGTGCAATATTGTATTAATTTGCAGCTAATAATAATCATTATTATTAAGTTTATCAATTCCACTTAGAACTAATTATTGTGTTATAACAAACACTTCTGAACAAACTTTTCTCTCTTAGGCTATGATTCTGAGGAATCATGGTATTGTGGTTTGTGGGGAGACCATAGAAGAAGCATTTTCTCTGGCTCAAAGTGCTGTGAAGGCTTGTTCATTCCAGGTAATTACATTTATGTCCTTGTATATACTCTGCACTCTTTGTAAATCACTATTAACATTGTCTGCTGATTAGAGAAGAGACAATCAGGGTTCCAGATAAATTTTCAAGGTAGGGTGTCAAAAAGGAATTCCAACAGGTCAATTCCCACTGCTCCCACCAAATCATTATTGATAAATTTCCAGTTAATTTGTTGGGTCATGTCACTGATCTTGTCGGGGTTTTGACCTGAGATCTCTCACTTATCTGGGACACTGGACACAATCTAGAAATTGATTTACACCTTACACAGCAATAGAAATCTACAGATAACAGTCTCCTAAAAGCGTACTATTACTAGCACCTTCACGACTTGGCATTCTTGAGTTCTTAGGCCTAGTTCACACTAGCAACATAGTGAAATAACAACATAAGAAGGACCTTGTGTTCTTATGTTGGCAATGTGAACATCCTGACATAATGACATACATGTAATAGCAACATAGCAACATAAGGAAAAAGCTGATCTTTTCCTTATGTCATTATGTCTATGTCAATATGGCGTTATGTTTCTGTTAGAACAAGTGTGAACATCATCGACATAACAACATAACAAAGAACCAATCAGAGCGGCGCAAGAATTGTCCAACCCAGTCTGCCACCAGCACTATTTTCAAAATGGCGGCAGCTGAGCAAGAATTGACTGTTGCCAGGCAGGAAATATTGACAGCTCAGATAGATGAAGAAGCAGTTGCTAAAGCGGTTCGATGCTATCTAATATTATATGTCAAAAGTATGAAGGAATTTAAAGAACAAAAGAAGAAAGAAGCAACATTATTGCAATTGCAATCTCCAGCTCCATTTTTCATCTAGCTAAAAGTCATGTCGATGTTCACATTACCGACATAAGGCAATTATGTCGTTATGTGGTTGTGTCATGATGTCGTTATGTTGTTAGTGTAAACTAGGCTTTATTGTACATGTAATTTCAGAAAGCAATACCCCCCCCCCCAAAAAAAAAAAATTGGAAGTTACTGCATGATGATCACACTGAAAGTAGCAAAGTTTTACTCTAAACAGTAAAAGATACATGTACGTTATAGTTGTAAAAGTCTGCATACGAGCCAAGTGGCCCATTGGGCAGGAGCTTGTCCCAGTTTCCATAACATGAAGCAACCAGGAGTATTTCTACTGCCCCTTGGATGGGATGCTAGTCCATCGTAGGGTTACCCCCAACATTAAATTCGCTGGTACCTATTCGCACACCTGGGTGGAGAGAGGCATTGTGAGAGTAAAGTGTCTTGACCAAGAACACAACACAACGTCTCTAACCCGGACGGCTTGATCCAGAGACAAGCACACTAACCATGAGCCAGGGCACCTCCACTGCATTTAAGTTGAATCTCCACTAACTGAATCCTCCTGTGGTTTGTCAGTGACACAAGCGTGCAAACCATGATAAATTATGCACCATTACTGTATTGTTATTTTGGGTGGCACTGTAATTTCAGTGGCTTGAATAGTTATTCACAACATAGACAACTTGTATGTTTTTTTTTTAAACTATTTAACAGTTATTCCACAAGCTTGCATTGGATTTGAGATGATAGATAGCCTACAAGGTACACAGTGCCAAGTTGGCTATGATCATCCCACACTTGTATCCAACAAGCACGAGTGGAATAATTGTTTTGTTAAGAACGCCCCCAAAATGTAGAAAACTATAACAAATTAAAGATAAAAACGCCCCCGAAAAATGTTTTTGCTCACCATATTTGTAGAGCATGGTATAATTGCACGTATACCATGATGGCTAAGCCAATGAAAACTCTTGAATTGCATTATCCTATGATCCAGTTTTTCATAATACTATATAATATATCTGAAGGTGAAAGCTGTTGCTGCTGGAGTTGACAACCTGATTAAGTGCGAAGATTTTGCAAGAGATCAAGTAAAGGAGACAACTCAAGAAGGTGGCGGGGGAGTGAACTCCAGTGAAATGAAATGGAAAAGAGGAGAGATGGAGTTTGAAGCATATATGCGTTTACTGGATTCTATGGTATGTTCAAGTACAGCAAGTTTGGTGAAACCCACTTTTGTGGAGTACTGTACATGTATACACTGTATCTTGTAGACTATGTAAGTGAGCCACACTGTATATGCATTTATTATATGGCTAGCTCCGTGTGCGGGCAAGATGGAGCTATCTTGCCCGCTCGGGACTACCCGCCTTGTCCCACAAGAAAAATTTCCCCAAAAGCCATATAATAAATCCTTTATTGACCAAGCTTATTCAGTCAAGATGGCTGGATATTAGCCTCATTCTTTTTTTGCGAGTTTATGGACCTCAACTTCGTCTCAGTCCATAAACTCGCAAAAAAAAGAACTTGACCAATATCCAGCCATCTTGACTTCACACTTGGTCAATAACCCATATATATGTAGTTTGTTCTTCCACATTAAAAGGCAAGGAACCCCTCATCCCAAACATGTGGCAATTATATAACAGCTCATATTTCATGTAATTTACTTGACATTAGACTGGAACTAGCTTCCAACTGAGGCTAATATGGGGTGTCTTTTCAATTCAATTGACATTTTAATCTCTTTTTAATGATAATTATTTCCCCACATGAGCCTACATTACATGCCAGTCCAGTCCAATTCCGAGAATACAAAATTAAATATGGCCTACTAACAGTCACATACAGCTTGTAAATAAGCAGTAAGCCAGACTAACCCTGTACACCTTGGTCTGCCGCATGTGTGACATACATTAGTATTAAAGGGAGGGTTTCACAGTTCGGTGCATGTCTCTAAGGCCCGGTCCAAATGCCGCTCTACTCATGTGCCGAACCAAACTTGATAAAGTTCGACTTAAGAGCGACTTTGAAGCGATGACTGGTTCAGACGGCGTACTTGCGTTGAACTTAATTCGGGAAGCCGGTGGGAACAATTTTCGACGAGAAAATATGCGTTCTGAATATTCAAGAACTCTGTCCAAATAGAAAAGCTGTGACTAACATTTCGCTGTTATAGCAATATTTAGAGAAGCAAATTCAAACTCAAGGTTCATTGTTTGTATTTAGACAGGTTTTCTCTCGGTTAATTCGACTTGTTAAAGGGAAATCTCATAAGCTGAGCTATTACCACGAAGAAAAAGCAAAAAATGAATTTGCGCTAGAGGAACTCGCTTATACAGTCCCGTTTCTCATAAATCGAGGCCANCAGAGAAAAAGACACTAAAAGGATTACCAGTGTTTCCTGTCAAAATGTTATATATATTAGATGAAGACCTTATTTCTATAAACATGCTCAACTAATGGCGGCTTATTAACATGATGCACTTTTCAACTTAACACCTTACAAATGCAACACTTCCTAGTTCCAAAAGAGGCAAAGGACAGCACTTCGTAGAATAATAACCACATACCATGAGGTGGCTCGAAGGAGCCTTTGATTTAGATGAAGAACCTCATAATGAAAATGTTACCGTTGGAATAGTGATATTTGCGTATTATCTGTGTTTCTCTTCAAAAACTGTGCTTTCGGTTTAGTGTTGCGAATAGAGAATCATCACGTTACTATTGATTTTTTTCGGTTCGCTGTATGCTGAGCAATGAAAGTAGCGTTTCCGGTTATTTAGGCCCGGTCCAAATGCCGCTCCATTCATGTGCCGAACCAAACTTGATAAAGTCCGACTTTAGAGCGACTTTGGAGTGACGGCTGGTTCAGCCGGCGTACGTGCGTCGTACTTAATTCGGGAAGCCGGTGGTAGCAATTTTCGACGAGAAAATATGCGTTCTGAATTAAAGAACTCTGTCCAAATAGAAAAGCTGTGACTAACATTTCGCTGTTATAGCAATATTTAGGGAAGCAAATTCAAACTCAAGGTTCAGTGTTTGTATTTAGACAGGTTTCCTCCCGCCAAAGAAATTTGCTTATACAGTCCCGTTTCTCATAAATCAAAGACATACTGGTATTTTGTTGTCTTTATTTTTATTGACGACTTTGAGCTTTATGCATGACTGGTCACGCCACTCAATTTTGAGCCAATCACGAGTCCCGTTATGTAAAAAACACATTACAATAATTTATGCATTAGGTTCGACACATAAGGAGAACGCCGTATGAATCAGCTGCCGCTCCAACGTCGCATANCACTCAATTTTGAGGCAATCATTAGTCCCATTGTATGAAAAATACATTACAGTAATTTATGCTTTAGGTTCAACATATGAGGAGAATGCCGTATGAATCAGCTGCCGCTCCAACGTCGCATAGTGCTACAGACCCTGCCGAATTTAATGTTGTTTGCCACACCAAACCTAACCTGCCAAACCAAACTGATTCAAACACCGCTCTTCTGCCATACTTAACTCATCAGTTAGGTTCGGTGCATGAATGGAGCAGCATTTGGAATGGGCCTATATCAAACTACTTTTGTGCACTTCTTATCAATGTTATTGCTTTAAAAACCCCACATAGATGTAGTTCAGTAATCACATGCTACAGGTATAGTTAGTTTAGGCAGGATGACAGATGACCAAATTCAGTGGATTTTACTGACACTGTCAACCGTTGAATTAAGTGTTGACCCATACCATTTATTCTACAGTTGATGACTTTACATCTATAGATGGGAAATTAGGTAACTTGCTTAGGATTGGTTCATAAACAATGAAAAACTGGACCTGTGCCAAAAAGTGTGCACAGGTGAATAAATAATACAGACATGCACCGAACTGTGAAACCCTCCCTTTAATTATATTTGTGACGTAATGTTCATGTACATAAGTTAAAAGTGGACCAAATTGATCCTACAAGCTTTAAAACTTTCAACCTGTACATGAATACAAAGGCAATGGTACCATTTCTATTGAAAATTTGTAGAGGAATGTTACTTCTAAATCAAGAAAAATGTAGACTGTAGTGATTTTATCACTTATAATTCATTTATTCACTGTTGGCATGACAAGCATTTATGTTGAAAATTTGTAGAAAAATGTTACTTGAGCCCAAGGGTGATGTACAGACTGTAATTAATTTATACTTCAGTTATTGACTATTGGCATGAAAAGCATTTCAATCTGTTGGAAGTTTGTAGAGGAATTCATGTCCAGATTGTAGTAAAATGCTGTCACTTTCACAATTCAATTGTTGACTGTTGTCTGGTTTGTAATTTGCAGGGCTACAAGTCAGGTTACATTTACAGAAATCCAGAACTTTTCCATGGTGAAAAGCCAGCTGAAAGAGAGGTCACGACTCCTTCAACAGTGTCATCCACTCGCGCAAAGTTGTACTACACTCCAGAAATTGAACGAACATCTGTCAGAAGAGCACACTCCACTGGCCGGGCAAACACATACAGAAACCGTGTGAAATGGCTGAACACCCCAGTAAAATCAACTGAATACAAGAAGGACAAGGAGAAAGTTGAGCTGGAAAGTGATGAACCTGTTACGATAAAGGATCTTATACCAGAGAGGGTTGACAAGGACTTGGAGCAGGTAAAGGCCTGTTTGGTTGCTTGCTTGGAAAATAATCTACAATCCCAGACAAAAAAGTTGGGACACAAAGTAAATTCACCCCTCCCCCCACTTACAATGTTGATAATCAGGTGATGTTGGCCCTTTTTGTTGAGAAAAACACAACATTTTTCAACATTAATTAGGGGGGATGGGGGATACATGATCTAGCTCAACTGTCCCAACTACTTTTGTCAGGGATTGTAGGTACTTATCCCCTGGACCATTCTAGTAATTTGTTTACTTTAGTGTTGGTGATATACACCTGTATGTTTGTTATTGAACTACATGTAGCATGAGGTCTGTATTGGAGAAATATTGGCCTTGAAAATCTTATTATTATTATTTTTTTTTTTTTTTTTTTAATGCAGGTTTATGGACCAAGCCACAAGGTCCAATAAACTTGCAAAAAGAAAGAACGAGACCAATATTATCCAATACGGACAACACAAGCTTAAAATTGAAATGGAAAATTAAAAGGTTTTTTTATATATATATTTAATGACTCTTGTTGGTAAGTTAAGCATAGCTCCGCAATCCAGTCTTAGTAAATGAACATTTACTTATGTACCTCATTTTGCTTTTCTGGGCATTTAACTGAACATTGTCCTCCAAACATGAAGGTAAATATAAAAAGATTTCTACTAAACAAAAACTGTTAATTTTGTGTGATGAATTGAAAAAGCACTGTCTAATGGGGTTGAGGTTGTACACAAAATCAAAAACTAATTCTTCTCTTTCATCAGACCCCTGAAAACAAAGAAGTGATTGTGAAGTCATCGAAAGTTGTGATCACAGAGTCAGTCCATGTTGAGAAAGGGATCAATGGTGATGAGACAAAGGAGTCGAAGACAGTTGTGGTCACAACAGAAGTGAATGGTGATGCTGGTGATGAAAAGAGCACAGAGGATGGAGATGAGGATGGTGCAGATGGCGAGCTTTTGGCTCCCAATGCTGATTCCCCTGAGCCAGAGAGCCCAACAAAGAAGAAGGGGACAAAAGTGAAGAAGAAGAAGAGCTTTAAAGATGCTTTGGTGAAGAAGTTCAGTAAGAAGGGTGAGCGACCTACTAAATATGAGAAGACTGACGGAGAGAAGGCTGATTAGCACCAGTACCCGATGATCAAGACACAGCGAGGGTCAAGTTTTATTTGGCACTGACTTAACAGTGCAACTCAACTAGTTGCAATATTACAGTAACAAAGAAATCTGCTTGTTTTGAAATGTAAAAAAGTTGAAAATCTTATTGAAGGGTCATGAAGCCCCCTGTGAGATGAGAAATTAAAAGCCCAGCATTATGTGTTAGTGACGTGCACCTACCTAAACAGAGAGTTAGTTTCAAAATAATGTTACATGGAATGCAGAAATGAAAGAAAAAGAAACCATGCAAGTTTTATTTTCTCTTTAAGAATGCATGGTTAACATGGTATCGTACAGACTTTGGTACATGTAACTAATTGAACTTTATCTGTGTGAGCAAAGTCTTTCTCGATTCAGGTCTCTCATCAATTTAAGTGGCATTTTCAGTTTGCAATTATTGTCTGTAGGCATCAAATATGATTTACCTTTTTTTTAATGTCATAGAACTTTTTTTTAATTGTAAGTTATTTTTGACGTAAATGATTTTTATCCTTGAAGTTGCATGAGCAAATGAAAGTAGTCATAACTCTTAATAGTCCCAAGCCTTATCAAGAGCTGACTTTTTTCTTACGATAGAAATTCATAGTCAAGAAGATAGGTGATGAGAATGACAAAAATTATTATTGACAAGGGATATCATCTTGACACTCCAGCAAATTCTCAACACTGTCATTAAATGAAATGTGTAGCTTTCTGTAAGGAGACTTTGATGTTAATTTTGAGCTGTGGAACTGAAAGGGTTAGGGGGTATGCAACACACTAAACAATGAACTGATAGTGAGTTTAAGTGAGTGAGTTAAGTTAGTGAGTGTAAGGAATTGACAGGCTGGTACTGATGTCCATTTTAGTGCTCCGAGTAAGAGTGTATTATGTAAAACTTGTAAGGCTATTTGCATCTAAGGACTGGCTCAATGTCCATGAACAGGAAAATTTGCCATTTTGTCTTTGTCTCAGTCAGTAAAAAGAGACTTCTTGGGGGTTGTTTGTTTCATAGTGTTCTGGCAGTAGCAAAGGATTTGATTTATGCAATAACTTTTCTTTGATGTTTTGAAGTTTGATTATGATATACATAAATATATACATGTAACATGTTAAACGTTACTATTGAGCTTGTTAAATTAAATGTCACTACAGTGCATGTAAGTGTGAATGCCAGTGTGCAAGTCAAGTTATGCCAACAAATATGTTTTTTAACATCTCTAGAGAATGATTTCCCACCCTAAGACTTAACCACTGCCACACGTACAAATGTGATTATTTGTGTGCTGTTAGACCAACACTGATCTACATCTGAACATAAGCATCTTTAATTCCCGAAAGTGTCTGAAATTCCAGCCTAGAAAAATTGTATAGCAAACAGTATGGCATGAAAGATGAACTTCCATTTCAGTAATTTTTACCTTATATTATAATTACTCAATTACCACAACAGGGAATTGCAGGCAGTATTTTTCATGTTACCTCGACTAAGATTCTGTGTTCTATATTACTCTTGTTTTTTTCTTTTGCATCAAAAACTACATTGAGTAAAGGGAAAAATGTGTTTGATTTTTTTCTGTACTTGTTTCACAGCATGTGTTATGTGGTGTACAAATGAAGAAAGCTTCAGTGCAAGATAAACTGATGTCATGTTTGTGTTGTGCTTATTTCAAACGTTTGCTGAAAAGATGACACCACAACCCAATAACCTGATTAGTTAAAAAAAATTGTGAATTTTAGCAACTCCTCTTTGACAAATTATCTGTAATAATATAAAAAATGTATTATTTCAGTTAATCTTGAGACAGAAGTAATACCATAATGTATAACTTAGCAATAATTTAGTTAGCTGTATTTACTGAGTTACCCCTCGAAACAAGACATCTGTATTCACCTTCTGTTGAGAGTTGGTACAACACTTTTTACTGGAGATTTTAGCTTAGGAATTTTATTTTATTTCGCTGCAGAGACTATAAAAGATAAAATTACATAATGTAATGGTTTTACTCAATGAATAAAAGAATGTCATAAGGCCAGAACTGTCTCTGATTTGTTTGTTTTTCTAGTTCACGTTATCAGTAACCTTGGGGCTATTTTAGACTGAAAATGAACTTGCTTGCAAAGATGTAAGTTTGATTTGCACAAAAAATTGTGTTCTACATTCGTCATGAGCTTGTTTGTGACAGTTAGTGGCGGAGCCAGGATTACTCAAAGGCGGAGTCACACTGACTTTTCAACAATTGCCAAGATATTGTCATGGCATTTTCGCCAGCTGTTGAAGGTTGTTTGCTTAAAAAAGGCTTACAAAAGGGGGATCACGGGCATCCCAGGACACCCCTAGCTACGCCCTTAAGTTGTATAATTAACTTTAAGTCTCTCGAGATTGTAGAGCAAGAAAAGTCAGAGGTTCTTGGCCTCCTTTGCCTTGCCATTAATTTTCATCGTGATTTTCTGGCAAGCTTAAACTAGCCTGTAGGACCGGAGATTTCTACAGATGTTGCAAGTTACCTTTCACATTCTCTTGTTGATATTCATAAAACATTAATAACCCGGACCGTAACAGTGACTGATTCCAAGAGTAACCTTCAGATTTAATACCCTAAGCACTTTTGAGTAGCTAACACACAGCACACAGGATTTTCTCAATAGACAGAGACAAAGAATGGATTTTACTGAAAAGTGTGTTAAACCACCATAACAGAGAAATGAACTTTGTCGTAACGCAAGTGACAAATTTGACGCAACCCCCACTACCAAGCTTGTGACCTAAAAAAATTTGACAGGTCCAGTACTTAGCTCCTGAACTGATTACAGATGTGACAGGTCTTGCACTAAGTCTATGCTTTTGAACTGATTACCAGTGCGGCAGGTCCTGCACTAAGATTGAGACTTGAGTACAAGTGTCACACACAGGTCTTGCACTTCACTGGAGACCTAACGACAACTGCGAGAGGTCCTGCAATGGGCTTAGCGACATGTCATGTACTAAACTTGCAACCCGATTACAAGATTGACACATCTTGCAATTTGAGCTTGCAACTTGATCACAAGAAATAGTGTGACTGGTCTTAAACCAATCTTGTGGCCTGATTACAAGTTAGTGTGACATGTTGTGCAGAGCTGTGCTCTAGAAGTGTCCGGATGCCACAGGTAACTAACCTTTGCCTCTGGGTGACTGGAATAAGTTACTTTTTTCATATAAGGGCACCTCACAATTTTTTTTATACCACAGCCTTGTTATGTAACAAGCTAAATTCTCCTGTCAAGTAGTTACAAATCGTGACACATCCTGACTACAAGTGTCTTCTCTTCTAAGCCTGTGGCCTGATTACAAGTATGACAAGTCTCACATTTAGTTTGCAACCAGATTACAGGTATGACATGTCTTTCTAAGCTTCTGTACATGACTTCAAGTACACCAGGTTGTCATGGTGTGACTTGAAATGTGACCTGAATTCAAATCCCCAAATGGAATGTACTTGTTACAGGAACCTATCACTCCAGAAACAAACATGGTTGATTATAATAATCATTATCATCTGGTAACATCTTTCATGGCTCTTTCTTGACATTGCATCCAATTAATGCTTGAAAGTCATCATCTTGATCTAGATCTTCAGCATATAATTCCTGAAGTTCCTGGGTATCTTGAATAGATCTAGAGCTGCTGTTATCTTTTTCCTGTTTCCGTTTTTGGTCTCTCAGTTTCCAGGCCCAGTGCAAGTCTTCAGTCCACATCTGCAGTAAGAATTGTATGCAAAGTATAAAATAAAGTTTGGATTTATAGTCAGTCCAACAAAAAGTCTCTTGTACATGTAGCAGTATTTAAATTTCTGACAGAGGGAAAAGCAACAAGTAAATCTTTGACATGGCTTGTCAATATTATTATCTTACGTTCTCCTCAATTAATTTCCCAAAATAATAAATTTAAAAGGCAATTTCAGTCTAAGAATTCCACAAACTATTAAGTAAACATTAATTTATTCAACTCATATAACAACATGATTGCTAAAAACTATTGAGATTTTCTTACATCTAAATCATCAGGTTGTAACAGGACAGCTCTTGAAAAACTTTTCACACCCTACCATAAAGTTAAAAGTTAAAATACAATTATATTATTATTCACCTTTTGATAATCTTGACATTTGCAAAGAAAATTGAGCCCCCAAGATGGCATCAAGAAATGAGAGAAAATTTTAGGAGATTAGTATTTTTGAAGAACTTTATGCCAGCACTGCATGTAGTTTGCTGGCACGTTTCTCCCAGAGGAGGAAAAGAATACGACAGATTGGAATTAAGCAAGTGTTCTGAACAAAATATAAAATGGATACTTGGAGGGAGCCAAGTAGATAGGTTGGATCCCTTCATCCCACCTCTTCTGTTTCACAGTGCTGGTCTGTCTGGTTGTTTGTTTGTTTGTTTTTACCATGATTTGACATGAGCAACAGTTAAGGAGCTTAAAAATGTCCTTTAAATTGAAGGAAAACACCAAAGAGATGATAATAATCAATACAGGAACAAGGATGGTCAAGGATGGAGAAGAAAAACATGGAATACAAACGACAGACTTGAGAGAATAAAAATTATGAAACTCACCATTTCAACATCACCATACCCCATTTGTGCACGGCCAAGTGTTTGGTGAGCGATGTGCCAATGAGGGTTCAGTGAGACAGCTTTTTCTGCAGCTTGTATAGCAGGAAATAACTCATGCAACTCCAATAGTATCTAGATAATATTGTGCAATTTAAAAAATAATCTGTTAAAAACTTGACACCCCATGATCAGTCTACACTGTCGGCTTGCAAAGAGAGTCCTGTCAGATATCTCATTCATTTACACCCTGACTGTGTATGAAACAAGTATTTCACCCAATGTCTGCATTTTACCCCTGGTCTATTCTTCAGTCTGCAGTCTGCATTTCACACTGACTGAAAAGTCTAGACAAAAAGTTGAGTTCTGGCAGACATCAATCATCTCCACCTCTTTACAGAAAGCACAGGTACCTACATTTCTTGACATACTGACTCATGTATCTCTAAACTTGCAAATATTTAATACAGCTGTGGTTACCCAATAAGAACATTCAGTGAGTCAGAAACGGAGAATTCTTCTACTACAACAAGAATTTTCCTATCAGTACAATGAAAACTGTTTATTTGGGCATGTGTTCCCAATGACTGTTCAGTAATAATAATATCTACATGTATCATTACCATGATTATCATTATCTACATGTATGTCAACTCTGATATCCATAATAAAACAACTAGATACTGTAATCTAAATTTAACCTGCCCTCGCTACAAGAGATGTACGGAAGGTGGCCGACGTTCACTGTAAGAGCAATCCAAGAATGGAACAAGCTGAATGTCAATCTTAAGCATAGTCTAAGCACAAAGCACTTTAAAGGATCACCTTTTAAATCAATTTTAAAAAGTCAATTTACTACTCAATTATGTATTAGTATCTAGCAGTTTTACATTTTTACTACTTAGAAATTGTAAATTAGTCATATTTATAGGTTGTACAGAGTGATTTTAATTAATTTTCTTTTGTGTTTATTTCAAGGACCATTAGTTTATCAGTTTTGTTACTGTCAAATATTACCCTCTCCAATAAAGTCTACTACTATGACTACTACCATTACACAATAAGGATTTTGAAACATAACTGGATAGTCTAATTCCTGAACCATACAGGATTAAAAGAAGGGCATACTTATCACCATTTCTCGAATTTAAAAACTTGAAACTGATGAAAAACTCAGGAGTGCACCTACACAATTGCAAGTTTGAGGTGACAATAATAGTAAGTCTGACTGCTCAACTTTGCTAAAGCGTGAAGTTTAAATACTACTTAGGGACAGAATTGGAAATCCCTATTTGAAGGAGCTTTAGTTACAATTCCACTAAAGCAATGATTCTTTTCAGCGTCATCAACTCTCATCTCATAGAAATCTTGAGCTCACAATCTATTGTTGTTATAAAATGGAAACACAAGTAAAAGTTTGGAAGAACTCAAAAAGGCTGTGGACACCCTCACCTGAAGCTCATGTTCCTGCACCATGTCTTACTCTAACTTTCACTTGTGTTTATTTAACTTTATAGAAACAGAAATTGTTTTCTATTTCTTTAATACCTGTGACTTCATTTCATAAAGCTTTTCGTTACTCGGTGTCAAAGATATGGCCTCATTCCACCTTGTGATTGCCTCCCAGTACCTATCAACATCAAAAACGCAATCAAATTGTAAGTTGCGAAATTTTAGTTCAGCGGGTTGCATATAAATGTTGGATAACACACCGGACATCACCAGGCATGCATGTTGGTAATCAAAGAAAGAGAGGGAGGCGCAAAAACAAACTCCTCTCAATACCCACTTAAATAACTATGATAAGCTTATAATTTTAATTTCTCTTGTAGGACTTTTCTGTATATTATTTTTAGATAATTCTTATTAGCAGTGGGGATTCTCCACTGCTAGATGTAATTGACACAGTAATAAAGTCATTATTATCATTAAATAGAAACCAATCCGAATAAACCTCGCAATGTTTTGAAATTTCCCCTCCACCAACCCGCCAACGTTAACACCCCAGCGCAAGCTTTTCACAAATGTATACCCTAGGTAACAAGGGCCTATTACCTTTGGTAAAATCCTGAGAAAGCCAGACTGAGAAATCCAATGAAGAGCTAAAAACAAAGACTTCAGAGGAATGTATAACTTCCAAACCTTTGCTGTTCCGCGAGGGAAACTCCTTCGTCTTGAAGTCGCTTGCTTTTGACGACCTTATCTTCGATGCTCAGTGCTCCTCTTTTAACTAAAAGGACTCGCCAGTCCAATTCAAATGGTTCATCTTCACCATCATCAGGTATCTGGTTACTTTCATCAAATGCTCTTGCCCTTTTCCGAGCAACATTTTGATCTAGTTTTCTCTTCCAGCCAAAACTGGTCGCCATCTTTGTTTATGAACAGACGGAAACACTGGCCAGCGTATTCAAAAACAATCAGGTTGTTACGTCATGTTGTTCTTGTCGAAACAGGTAACGTTTTCTGCGTTTGGGTACATAGGTCGCTTAGCGAATCGTGATTTAGCTACATACCGCAAATATAGCTTTTAAAAAGTTCAAAACTCAACTTTTAAATTTCAAAGTTAAAACAAACGTGAATGCTTTGCTGGTCCTTACTGGAAGAATATCGGCCCCCGGTCTTGACAGACCCTGACAGTAGGCAGAGAGATCCGTCTCGAAAAAGACCAAGGGCCAATACTCCTATAGTACAGCGCGCAATTCTAAGAGCCAACTTAGGTTTTTCTCGTGTTTCTGGTTTCAGAAAAGAAGGAATAGAAAGTTAGAAAAAATAGAAAGATATGGCTTGTTTAATACTAAATGGTAAACTGGCCACCGATGGAAAGGAGAATTCTGATTGGCTCTTTGAGCAGTCTAACTTTTTCTAGTACGGACCGCCCTCAGGTATTTAGTTTCGATGAATTGCCAACATTGCTGTTTCAAAATTGACTGTGCAAAATAAAACGAGCAAAGGGAGAGAAAAGAAAATCTTTTCCCTCTCGTTTTTAGCGGTCAACTTAAACTTTGGCCTCGTCCTTGGCTCTGTCGCCCCGCTGTTCGAAATGAACAAGACACCGCGCATGATACAAATGAACAAATTTATCCGGCTTCTCAACGAAGACTTACTCAAGTATTGCCAATACCTGGGAAAATATCTTGCCTTGAGCATTTGAACTTGCTTGTGAATTGAATGGAAAATGATGACTGACGCAAGAGGGGTCAAGTACCCCTATTTCCCGTGTTTTACGCGGAAATAGTGAAACAAACGGATATAGTCTGCACACAGGTTGCCAAGTAGACGTGCTGTCAAGAAAAACACCTGCATCCTTAACAAATGTTTTACTAAAAAAAAGAAAAGTGCAGGCGATACAGCTCTTGTCGGTACGTGCTATTTATGCGATACTTCTCGTTAGTCATTTGAAAAATATTAGCTTAGCAGAGTGTGTATGTAAACACAACAAGCACCGAAGCTCTGCATACTGTGTGGCATGAAATCTTACACGTTTTTATAACTGTCTCCTACCTCGAAGGGTTAACTATTTAAATTAACTGGCCGTTTCGGCACTTACACTCAAATCATTTACTTATCACGCAGCTTTTAACATAGACACGATTCCGTGATGGAAAGTCCACCCCCCTTAAAGAGTTTTTTTGATTAAAGAATTTTTGTGATTTAGCTGTGTGATAATAGAGCTTACTATATTTTAATGCGACTTTCCAGATCTTTCGCACGTAAAATACTTGAAGAACAAAACTGAGTGCCATTCTAGTATCAATCGCTCGTAAGGTACTTGGGGCTTATCAGCTCTTAACTGAATAAGAACACGTCCTTTCTGAGATACACACTATCTTATGTTTGTAAACAAAGTATCGTAGGCTATCGCGTGATCAGTTCAAAAGCGGAAAACCCGTGCGTTTCGAAATAAGCAATATCTTTGAAGATAATTGTAAACAAAGTTGCTTAGAGTAGTCTTTAACAGTATTAAGCTAACAGTATTAGCTCATTAATGAAGGGGAAACCGGAATTCAAAAAAGTCGGTTAAATCACGTTAAATCGGTAAAATAACCACACCAGGAGCAAACAACACACGCATGGAATAAGTTACGCCATTTTTATTGAGAATTTTCTCTTCCATGGATATCTTATAGAAAATCCCATATAAACCCTTATAATTCGATGCCATATTGTGTTGCTTGTGTGGTTCATAGAGAGAGCTTGGGCTGCCTGTGGTTATATAAGCCAATCGTGTCGCTCAAAGGAAAACCGCTCTATTTTCTTTCTGTGGTTTCACTTTCACTTTAAATGTAGAAAGACTTCCTCTCTGCAGAATGCAGAGGTAGGAAAGTAGAGAAGTAGTTTCGGGTTCGACTTCGGAGCTCCTCGAAGTACTACTCTTCCTTCGTCGGTCGAGGTCGGATTTAGGACTTCCTTGGTGAGCTTTTCGTTGGAGCGTGGGTCGGCTTGATAACTCATGGCTAGAATTGTTACTCCTTCCGGGGAGGTAGTTTAGAAACTTGTCAGTAGACCGGTTTGTCTAAGCGTCATTTCACAGCCCTCTGAGTCCAATCTCCGTTCCTGTCTCCCGAAGAGAAGTGCTGGCTTCTTTTCCGAACCGCTGCTGGTAATATTTATTATGATATTTGTCTTGCAAATGCTCGTTGGGTTATGTCACGTTTCAATCGACGACGTGATGTAGTTGTATGGTAATCCTTGAAAGTCATACTTCAAACCAGTTAGTTCTTATTTAATTTATAGCTCTTGTCTAAATGGGATCGATACGTTTTAGCCAATACAAAATTTCCAAGAGAGAACGGAAAGTGGACTTTACTCACTGTCAGTTTTCATCTCGTCGCTTAAAATCGCGTTTCAAATGAAAAATTGATTTTTTTTATTTTAAACAAGGACAATTTCTTACATTCAAAATAGCTTGATTTTAGGTAAATGCTTAGATTTAAGTGTTCAGCCTACTGAATTATTTTCTTACTTACTTTCTTTTAATTTAAACTATCAAGCCAAGTGGATGGTTACGAAAGCTTTCCAATTCTAGCTTCTATATCCAGGGGTGGCGAATGGTCTTTCAAAATCTCAGCTTCTCGGAAAATTTTCGTCGAATTTCACGGGTCTTGCAGTCTCGTTGTTCGGCGGTTTATGTACGTCTCGCAGTCTCCATTTTTATACGAAGCTCTCTCGGAGTCTCTATTTTTGCAAGGCTAACGCATCGAAGTCCCGATACGTTTGTTTGTTTTTATAAATGACGTCTTCTCGTCTCCTGATATTGAATTTCAATAAAGCAACTTTCAAATTTCCGAGAAAAAGTTAATCCTAACTTCTCCTAAATTGTCTGAATTCCACAAAAAGCTACAAAACCTACCGTAACGTCAGTTTGGCGCCAGAAAAACATTTATCTTGTTCTAGGATATTGTAACGTAGTGTGTTATAGACGAATTTCCAGTTCCAGCTTGTTTGCAGAAGCTGACCAAAAGGCTAAAAGGGGAATCAAGAAGCCACACACAACCGCTCATGATGAAACCCACGAAGTCGGAGAACTTATTTGTGTAAAAGCACAAGTATTTTTGACACAAGGCTCCTTCTGTACAAGCACATTCTAGCTCATTCTCATAGCTCTCAACTATCTCTGGGGCTAGCTCGAATTTTAAGAGTCTGAACGCCTCGTACTCGCACCTAAAACACTTTGAAGTCTCGGTCTCGCAATCTAAACAGTCAATATATCTCGGGCTCGCAAAGAAAAACGCTGGTCTCGCAGTCTCGCAAAGTCTCGCATTTACCATTCGCCACTCCTATATCCGGTAGCTAATTCTTCAGTCTGTACCTGGAAATTTCCTCAAACAATTTGTCTAAATGTCTTGTTCTTTTTCCAATTCCCTTCATCGACGTAATCAGCAGAGCCATGAACTACCGCTTGGCACTAATGTGAGGGCAAAGCACCTTTTTTCGTATCATCGAAAGTATGTCCCGATATTTATTAGGTTTTTCCGATATTTTGTATAGCATACCGTGGAGTGCAAATATTCATCCTCTTGAGAGAAGACCTTGGGTGGCCCTGTCATTAAAAAGCACGTAGCAACGAAAGGAAAAATGTAAAACTTTTTAAAATAATGAATCGTCAAATGAATTGTCAGCAGGGAACCAACTTGAGGGGCGGAAAACACCAGTTGTCGTGTCAGCTTAGCCGTGAAGGCTAACCCCGTTTAGTGTTTTGAGACCCGATATTTCCGTTGTTATAATACGGTCGTTCCGGCAGAAAATCCAAACCATTTCTATATCTTCATTTCAATCATAAAATTTCCTCGAAGTTTGCGATATTTTTCTCGCTGTCTTTCCCACGCCCGTTTTAAGATATCACACTAAGAAGAAACTTTATTATATGGCTAGCTCCGTGAGCGGGCAAGATGAATCAAATCCTGCGCTGTGATTGGCTACCCGAGCGGGCAAAAGGGAGCTATCTTGCCCGCTCCGGACTTCCCGCCATGTCCCGCAAGAAAAATTTTCGCGAAAGCCATATGATAAACCTTTATTGACCAAGCTTGTTCGGTCAAGATGGCTTGATATTGGCCTCGTTCTTATTTTGCGAGTTTATGGACCTCGACTCCGTCTTGGTCCATGAACACGCAAAAAAGAACTTGGCCAATATCCAGCCATCTTAACCGAACAAGCTTGGTCAATAACCCATACATCTTTGCCAACAGTTTTATTTCAGTGTTTTTCACAGCCTATAAACGATGACTTTCTTTACTTTGCGCGATGAATGATGCAACAATCCCGGAATGAGGTTTTCCTGAATGCAAGGATGTCTCTTGCTGACCAGTAATATTTTGGAACGCAGGATACTAACTAACAACTAAATCACAAATACACAACACCTTACGCATTGTAGGCCTGAGTTGTCGTGTCAACTTAGCATGTCACGGTCAGTTAATGATTTAAGTCAGGTAAAAGCGAAAATAGGTTTTTATTCTTACAAATCATAGTTTGCTGTTGTTTGAAGTAGCGATAATATTTGGCGTTTATCATGCGATTTACGCTTCTAATGAAGAAGGCGTATTTCCTCTTAATGTTTTAAAACCTGAGATTTCCGTTCAGAAAATTCTGGCGAAAGCGGTTGCTATTAAAAACTTTTAAGACTACATGTATCAACACAATTTATTATTGTATGACTTGTGCATACAATCCAGTTTGGAAGTTCGACGCTATTCCCAAGTTTTTGCCTGCCAGGAGAAATTTCAGCAACTGCTTGTTTCAAGATCGATGATTTATGGACTTCATGTTCTAAGTCATCAATCTAGAGACGAGGAGCTGTGAAAGAGAACAGGAAACTTATAATTACACACAGAGCTTTTCATCGCTCTCTTAAAATTGCGCTTTTAAATGTAAGATTAATTTATTATTTCAAGCAAAGGCGATTTCTTGCTTGTTTCAGATTAGAGGATTGACTGGAGATGAGTGCTCAGATTTAATAGATAAGCCTAAATTATTTTCAGTTGTTGATTTTAAGCTTTATATAGAAATAGAAAGTTGAAACAGGAAAATGTGTCTTAATATATGGCATGTAGAAAAGATGGATTCTCATTTAAAAAAAGGAATTTTAACTTCAATGAGTCTGGGGGAATGCACATGTTGGGCGAGTCAGGCT